TAAACTTGCTTAATTAGACTTGCTTTCTGATTTAACTAAACTTTTTCCAGCCCAGTGAAGCACCCCAACTTCTCTTTCAGGTAATTGGCAGCAACACAGCAGTACTAGTAAATATCAACATGAAGCAGATTATTATCGTAGATCACGCAGGGAGAACAAAGGGTAAAATATTTAACTGCAGCAGTGTTTGACTATGTTCTGTGCAGTGAGAAAACCTGAAGTCATTTTCAAGACCCACCATTACTTCTTTTCAGTCTGGTCAAGTTTCTAAGCTTTCTAAATCTCTGTTTTCCGGCTAATGAAAAGAAAATAGTATTCTACCAAGTCTCCTGTCTACCTGTTCCAGGACTTCTATGAGGATCAAATGAGATGAGGCATGGGAAAACGCTTCACAGACATTGGTTAAAGTGTGAAATGTTTGCACCTGGCTATAAAGCAAGTCGTGTTCCTGGGCTGAAGAAACTGCAAGGAAGTTAGTCATCGCTAGGGAGAGGAAGCCGGGCATTGCTACGTGATGTCATTACCCGGCTCCCACAGCAACCATTTCCGGGCTGGGCTGTGCTGTGCTGGGCTGGGCTGTGGGCCTCATTTTACGCCATGGTGTCTCGGCAGCATCGGTTGTGATTTAATGGGCTGTCACTCTGGGGTGGTGGCAGGGCCTATGTCCCACTTGGGGGAAGTCGAATGTTGCTTTGTGGGTGCCAGGTTCATGGTGCCAGTGCGCCTCACGGCAGCTTCTGCATTGAGCGTCTGCTCCCTTGTGGTCAGTGTGCATCATAGCAACTGGTTGGACACTTAGCACATAGCCTTTTATGTATACGGATTTCCCTGATAAAAAGATTTTGAGCATCTTTTAAAGTGTTTATTGGCCATTCCTGTATCTTCACGAAATGTCTGCTTTCTTTAAAAGCTAAATTGTTTTTTTACTTTCTTACTGAGTTATAAGAGTTCTTTTTATACAATTGTTTGTATGGAAAATAATACAATAATCATGCAAGCACACATCTTTTGTGTACTCACAACTATAAACCTACTTTGCCTCACTGTATATTCTACATACAAGTTTTCTCACATATATTGTGAATATTTTTCCCCAGCCTCGCTTATCTTTTTGTTTTAATGTAATTTGAAAAGCACAATTTTTTTATTTTGAGAAAGTTCAGCTTATTAACACATTGTTTGTGGGTAGTTTTTATCGCGCTTACAGGTGGCGCGGGCCATTTTTGCAGTTGAATAGATTGATTACCGTTATACCTGAAAGTACATACATAATTCACCATTGTATGTGTTAGAGACCCAAATTTTGTCCTTTGGCATTCGTATATCTGCATGTTAGCATCCCTTTAGAGCAATAAAAAAGTATAAAAATAAACGTATTTATACGTTACCGCATTCTACCGCTAGTCTATAAAAAACGTATTAATACATGCCCCGCACTCTACTACCAGTCAACGTAAAACGTATAAATCCCGCATGCAATGTGTTAATTCTTCCATTTATAATTTGTGCTTTTTATGTCCTGAGAAATCTTTGCCAAATCCAGGGTCACTAAAATTTTTTCCCACATTTTCTTGTAGATATTTTATAGTTGAGGCTTTATGTTTAAATCTGTGATCTATTTTGAGTTAATTTTTGAGTGTAGTATGAGGTAGCAATATTGGGCTCATTTTTTTTTTTTTTACCAGCTCATGTCCAGACCATTTGATGAAAAGACTCCTTACCCCCATGTAATTGGTACCTTTGTCTAAAATTCATTACTTGTGTGCATGTGGGTCTGTTTCTAGATTCCTTTTATCTCCATTGCTTTATATGTTTATCTTTATGCCAGTAATACAGTGTTGTTAACTTAGCTTTATGATTTAGCTTGTAATCAAATTGTGCATGTTCTTCAAATGCTTTAAAAAATTTTTTTTTCAAGATTGTTTTGACTATTCTGTTTCTTTTGCCTTTCCATATGACTTTTAGAATCAGCTTGTCCATTTCTGTGGGGTTTTAAAAAGCTGATTGGGGTTTTATTAGGATTATGATGGGTCTATATCTAGATCAGTTTAGGGTGAAATTTACTTGAGAAAGTTTCTTTTTGTTTTTTGTTATTGAACCTTCCAGTCCATGACCATATTATATTTCTCAATTTATGTTGCTGTGCAAGTTTGGCATATACTTTGTTAAACCCTAAATGTTCAGTTCTGATGCTGTTATAAATGATACTGCTTTTTTTTCTCTCATTTTTCAGTTGCTAATGTATAGAAATAAAATTGAACTTTTATTATTGGCTTGCAATCTTTTGTTAAATTTACCTTTTAATTTTATCAGCTCTGTTAAGATTCCTTAGGGTTTTCTCCCTACATGATCATATCACGTGCAAATAGTTTTACCTTTTTGTTTCCAATCTGTATCTTTTTTTTCTTCTTCTTCCCTTACTGCACTGGCTAAAACTTCTGGTAAAATATGGACTAGAAGTGGTGAGAACAGACTTCCTTATTAGTTTGTTATTGATTTTAGGAGGAAAGCATTCACTCTTTGACCATGAAGTATGATGTTAGATATAGGTTTTTCATAGGTGCTTGCTCTTTATTAGCTTGAACACAGTTCTTTCAGAGAAATTTTTGTTTTGAATGGGTGTTGAAAAAGGTTTTTAGTTGTCAGGATTTCTAAAATTTTTTGCTTTTGTTCTTAAAATTCCACTATTTTGAATATTGTACCTTTGGGATATGTTTTAATAAAAACAGAAACTTTTATTCCTTATGCCATGGACTATTCTGAACACTTTAACTTACATAACCATCACAATAAACTTTTAAAGTATATCTTAACTAAATTTTACAGATGAGTCTCACATCATTATTTTCTAAAGGAGCTTAAATTCCTTTCTTTTCCATCCCCTTCCTGGTAGGTATATGGGTATTCATTTCTAATAAGTGAGTTTTCTATTTGTTTCTCTTTGCATTCTATTTTGGGTTCTCCCCACATCCTCATTGATTTTAATTATTTTTAGACTAGAGGGCTGGTGCACGAAATTCATGTAGGGGTGGGGGTTCTCAGCCCGGCCTGCGCCCTTTCACAATCCGGGAGCCCTCAGGGGGTGTCCAACTGTCAGCTTAGGCCCAGTGGGGAGCAGGCCTAAGCCATCAGTTGGACGTCCTCAGCGTGCAGAGGTGGGAGAGGCTCCCACCACCGCTGCTGTGCTCACCAACCATGAGCCCAACTTCTGGCTTAGTGGCACTCCCCTGGTGGTCAGTGCATGACATAGCGACTGGTTGTTCAGCTGTTCGGTCGACTTTCATATTAGCCTCTTACTGTATAGGATTACATGAAACATTAACATGGTTCTAAAATTCAAAACAATACAAAGGGTATATGCTCAGAGAATTTTCACTTTGTCCTTATACTTTCTACGCCATTTGTAATACCTTATCTTTGTAATTCTTAATTACTATCTGATCAGTTTTATGAAAATTCTATTGGTACTTGATAAGAAGGGGCTTTGGGTATAAAGTTTGATATGAACTGTTGAAGTCTGCCTTTTTAAGTTGCATAGGTAGGTCCATGATTGTTTTTTGTCCCCTTGATTTGCCTTATGCTGAGTGTTGTGTTAAAGTTACCGATTATTACTGTTTTTTACCTATTACTACTTGCATATCCTGTAGCTTTGCTTTGTAAAATGGCTGCTATGTTATTTGATGAATAGATAATCATAAATTACATAGATATTCAAATATAGGGTGTCCCCCAAATATGTATACACATACTTTGAATAATTATAAAGGCAGTGTTTATTAAATCATTTCATTTTCAAAATTGAGCTATCAGCTATTAAAATGTGTATACATTTTTTTGGGATACCCTGTATATACTCACAATACATAAATATAGATATTTACAAGTGATACGTAGATATTCAAACTCTTGTGAATTGTGGTTTATAGGTCGTGCTTATTGTTCTTCGACTTGAATTCTACTAGTCTGATATTAAGGTCTGCTTGCCTTATTGTCTTCTATTACATAGTAAATTTTCATGTGTGCCTTTAATTTTATTCTTTCTGAATAACTTGAACCTACTGTGTGTGTGTGTGTGTGTGTATGTGTGTGTGTGTGTGTGTGTATGGTATAAGCATATAGTTGAGTCTTGGGTTATGAGACAAGTTAAAAATCTTGTTTTCATAGATGAGTAAAGACCATTTACATTTATTGCTGTGACTAAATATGTTTGATCTCAATTCTTTCATATATAATTTTTAAAATTTTTGTTATATTGGCTGTTTTTCCTTTTTGCTCTTTTCTAAAAAGACTAGAGGCTTGGTGCATGAAATTTGTGCACTTGGTGGGGAGCGGGATCCCTCAGCCCAGATTGCGAGAGACCAGGCCGAGGGACCCCACCAGTGCACGATCGGGGCCTGGGAGGGATGCAGGAGGTTGGCCAGCCAGGGAGGGGCCATAGAAGGGCTCCAGGGTATGTCTGGCCCATCTCATTAAGTCCCGATTGGCCGGACCCCAGCAGCAAGCTAACCTACCGGTCGGAGCATCTGCCCCACGGTGGTCAGTGAACGTCATAGCGAGCGGTTGAGTGGCCTTAGCATATCATTAGCATATTATGCTTTGATTGGTTGAATGGCCAACCAGACACTTAGAATATTAGGCATTTATTATATAGGGTTATATTTGGTATTTGAGAAGATTTTTTAATTCTTCCATTTTTAGCTGAATTATTTCCACTTTGATGTGCAGATTTTGAATACTAGTCTTCCAGCCTTTCCCCATCTTTGAAATATGTGTGTTTGTCTATACAGAATTTTGCTGAAGTTTTCCAGTCTTGGTTGAAGGAAGCCATGTGAAGATGGACCACACTATCCAATATGTTGCCACTAGTCATTTGTGGCTTTTGAGCACTTGAAATATGGCTAATCTGAATTGAGGTGTTCTATATATGTAAAAAAAACAAACCACTAAATTTTTATCTGTTATTACAACAGATATCTAGAACTATTTTCATTTTTAAAAACTGAAACTCTGTTCAGTAAACAACATCTTCCCTTTTTCCTCCTCCCTCAAACCCCTGGCAACCAATTTTTGTTTCTATAAATTTGACTACTTTATACCGTTTATAAGTGAAATGATGCAGTGTTGGTCTT